AGGAATGCAAAGTGTTATTTTCATTAAACTGATACTCCAGACTAACATTCTTCCGTTAAAAATTGCTGAAAATAAAAGGATTCTGACAGGGTGGACATGAGTCACCTGGGCGACTGCTGGGGCCAGGATGCGCTTCCGCTAACAACCCTCCTTCGCGCGGCGGGACGGGGCAAAGCGGAGCTCCCTCCGCTATTAGAGCAGCGGGGACGCGCGGGCGCTCGCTGCCGTGCCGGGCTGCGGGCACAGGAGAAGGCAGCTTGCATTTCTCAGGTGTTAATGAGAAAAAGGGGCTGTTGGCGCGTGAGCAGCCGGAGGAAGATCCTGGGCGGAGCAGCAACGCTTTTTTTAGCCCAGCAAAGCGCAGGTGAGCATCTGCTTAGTTTTAAGCCGTGCAAGTCATCGCAGCGGTTCCAGTGGGGCTTTCTGCATGCCTTTTTTTTCCCTTTTTTTTTTTTTTTTTTAAATAAATAAATAAAAAAAATAAAATCGAGCACAAAGTGATTCCCTGGCCCGGGGCCAGCGCGTTTGGCCTCGCGCGAGGCAGAGCCTTTGCCGGAGGTCAGGGGAAAAGCAGCTCGTCCAGCGCTGCAATCTGCAGCGGTCGGACACCCTGAACCTCCCCGGGGACGGCGGCCAGCTGGGGCTGACGTGGAGGCGTTGCTCCTGCAACCAGAACCTGGGCTGGAGAAAAGGATGGAGTCTTCCCTGGCTGCGGTGCCCCCGATGCCGAGGGGAGCTCCGGCACGCCGCGGTCCAGGGGTGCACGGGAAAGGAACGCTCTGGGATGGAGGGGAGCCCCAACCCAGGCAGGAGCACCCGGCCACAAAGCCCACCAACCCCCGGAGGTGAGGAGGAGGAGGAGGAGGAGGAGGAGGAGACCTCGCCGTTGGGCACAGCGCTGGGTCAGCCCCTCTGGCTCGGGGTGCAAGACGGGCGCTGAGCCCGCAGGGAGGAACAAAAATAAAGTGAGCGAATGCAGGGAAGATACAGAAACGCAGTTTTTCCTCCTTTTCTGCTCTTGGCCTCGTGTGCTTCTCCTCCCCGCAGAGCCAAGTTCGTCCTGACCCGGCAGAGCCGGAGTTACCCTTTAACCAGCTGCGTTTCCCTGAACTGCTCCACCCTGCAAATCCACCTGCAATCACAATTACAGCTATCAAAGGTGTTATTTCACCTTAAACAGCCAACGGCCATTCAGGCAGGTTTGCCATCGTCCCTTCCCCTCCGCAAGCCCACAGTGCCGGTCCCCGAGCCCCCAGCAGGTCCTGGGAGCCCCCCAGGGATGGCAGGGACGGGGCAGCACGTATCCCCCGGCAAGCGCAGGCGCCTGCACTGCATTTCTACTCCTTTCTGGCTCCGGCCATTCGGTGCCGGCTTGTCAGGGCCACCAGATAAGATGGGGATACTGGTGACAGCAGTGTCTCCCAGGGCTCACAGCATCACCCCATCCATCACGCTGGGGCGGGAACCAAATCAAGGTCTCCGAGCTCCTTTCCCTGCTCGGCCACCGCTTTGCTTTGCCTGAATGATCCCCACAGGGCACCCCACATCAGCGGCTGTTCCTCCCCATCCCACACCCAGTCCCAAAAGTTCCCTCTCCCCAAGCACAGGAGTTACCAGCCACAGTCCCAAAGCAGCTGCACGTAGAAGCTCTCCGCAGCGGTGTGCCATGCCCTGGCAAAGCCGCTCCCCAGCGCCAACCCCACATCCCTGACCCACACGGCTGCTTTTGTCCCGAACTGTTTCAAGCTGCCATCTCCTCGGACACCTTTCATTTGCAGCAGCAAAGTCGGGCAGCCCCGCAGAGCCCTTCCCCACCTCCCGGCCGGGAGTAGCCCCGAACAGAGCCAAGAGGGAAGACCAAACCACCCTCGGATCCCTGCATCTCACAGACTCCTCCTGGGCACCTTCCTGTGTCCCCGAAACCACTTCTGGCATCTCCGATACACCGTTCCTGTCCCCCCATCTCCCCCAGGGGACCGCGGCGCTGAGCGGCACAGCCGAGAGATGCGACCAGCGGCGTGGCTGCCCTCAGCCCCCTTCCCCCGACACCTCGGGGCTCTGCTGCTCTACAGCCGCCAGCTCTCGCCCTGCCTTCCCGTGGGGCTTCTTAAGTCACCTCCTCCTTTTGGGCTGGCTTTAACGTTTTAGCTAGTTTGGGTATTTTGGCTCAGCGTTCTCCCACCTAGCCCAGCATTTGAGCACACAGGATTACTCCCCACCCTTCGACGGGATGTTTTTCCTCCTTCAGAGCAAACGCCCACTGCAGAGAGGGTGTGCGGGAGGAAGGGTTTGTGCCCGGGAGCCTTCACGGGTGCGATTTGGGGGGGGACCGGGAGCAGAGGAAGCTCAGCCAGAGGCTGCAGGGCTCCCTCCACTTCTGCCGCCGTCCCCCTCCATCATCCTCAGCGAGTTGCCTGTACAAAAGGAGGAAAGCACTGCAAAAAAATAAAATAAAATAAAATAAACTGAGACTTAGCGTTAATAAAGGGCCTGATTCTGCTTCCTTGCTGCTTTGCAAGGCATTCCCCTGACCGTGGGACACCTGTATGTATGAAGAGGGAAGTCCAGTGCTGCGCGAGTGGCCGGTGCAGTCCCCGGGGACCCCCAGGCAGCCGGGGCTCAAGGGAAAGCTGCTGCTTTCCTGACGGAGCTGCGAAGAGCCTGGCGAGCTCCCGCAAACGATGGCCCCCGTCCCTCTGAAGGCAAGGAAGGCAAGAGCAGCCAGCTCAGCCCTGGCCGAGACCCTTCTCTTCCCATTCCCCCACAGCCCAGGGCAGGACTTCGCCCTGTCACCGGGGCGGCAGGGCTCCCAGACTCGCTGCTTCTGGGCCAGACACCACCAGCGACAAAGCACTGGGAATAATGGGTTGAACACGAAGCGGGAGCTGCAGCAGAGCCAGGCAGGAGGAAGCATCCCCAGTGCGCATCCCACCTCCTTCCCCGTGCTCTCGTCAGACCCCTTTCCCCTTCCTCAGCCTCTCCGGGCATTTGGCAAACGCAGCCGCGGAGGAGCTCGGTGCACGGGGCTCCAAACTCCACTGTGCCTCCCACCAGCGGTGCACCCCAGCACAGATGGACAGAGCCCTGAGTGTCCCACAGGGACACCTGTAAGCACCACCGGGTCAGTATTTAGGTGACATTCACACCTGCATCAGTCGGGACAGCCCGGCGACACCAGCAGCGCTCTCGGGGGGAGCTCACTGCCCTGCCAGGATGCTGGCATGGGGATGTCCTTCCAGTCCCTAAAGGGGCTACAGGAGAGCTGGGGAAGGACTTTTTACAAGGGCATGGAGTGAGAGGGTGAGGGGTAATGGCTTCAAACTAGAAGAAGGTAGATTTAAACAAGATCTTAGGAAGAAATTCTCTCCTGTGAGGGCGGTGAGCCCCTGGGGCAGGTTGCCCCGAGAAGCTGTGGCTGCCCCATCCCTGGAGGTGGTCAAGGCCAGGTTGGACGGGGCTTGGAGCAACCTGGGCTGGGGGGAGGTGTCCCTGCCCAGGGCAGGGGGTGGCACTGGATGGGCTCCAAGGCCCCTTCCAGCCCAAACCATTCCATGATTCTCTGTCACAGCACCGGCACACTGGGGTACATCCCTTAATGTGACACTTGTGACCAGCACCTGGAGACACTCCATATCATCCTGTATAAAGAGAGGGTCCCACTGCAGACCCTCAGCCGTCCCACAGCCAAAACCAGTCCCTCTGCGAGGAAGGATGGAGGGAACACTTCCGGCAGGGTGCTCAGCACCGGGCATGGGGCTGGCAGAGCTATTTGCCTTGCAAATGAGCTAAATAAGGTCCCGAGCTGTGGCAGGAAGGCTTGGGAGAAGCACCCCAGGTGAGTCACCCAGTCCCTTACCGCAGGAGTGATTTAAGGTGTGGTTGGGTCTCCCAGGTCGTAGGACACAAGAGAAAACAATTTCAGAGGGCGGGAAACAACCGGGAGAAAGCAGAACAGCGGGAAAGTGGGACTGCCCAGCAAAAGCCGTGCTGGGGCCTGGGAAAAGAGGGTCTCCAAGCAAGCCCTGCTTTTCAGATGCTTGTAAGTCAGTCTAGAGAAGCACTCTGTAAAAAAGGGGGACCTGGGGTCCA